CGTGTCGATCAGTCGATGATCGCGCAAAGCTGTTCATAATTGATCAGCAAAAGCAAAACAAAACAAGATAATAAAAAGCAACCTTCTTATTTTATCCGTTTGTTATGTTTACGAGACCTGCGGTTTTTTTGGGTTTTTCTTGACAACTGCTGAGAAAATGTCGATAACTACTTAGATATCCATTATATACGAACATGTTTGATTATGATTTGAAAACAAACTTTTAGAATGAATCAACATTTTTTTTTTGTTTTTATTTTTTTTCCTCGGAGACTGAATCAGAATTTTCAGTTGAAGAACGTTATCGTAAAAATCTTATCACTTTAGGCATTGCTTGATTGCTGGACAGGCTTTATCTATATTCACGCTTACAGAATGAAGACTCCGCAACTTGGGTTATAATTTGCGCGCAGTTATGCCTTTTAATTTATTAATGAAACCGAGAACTATAAAAAAGAAAAGACAATTCAGTTGAATTATCTGTAACCCTTAGAGAAGATAAAGGAAACAAGAAATGGATAAAAAACCTCACTGGATAAATGAATGAAATGGATAAAAAAACCTCGCCTCATTGGTTCTATCTTGGATATCACTTAACCATGTGAGTGATAATGTAACACAGTCAGACTATGATAGCACAACCTGTCTCATTTATCTCATTAGGTATTGATAAAGGGTTGTAAGATTCAACGGAACGCTCACAACAGAAAACAATTTGGCTGTTTTTGAAGGAAAGGACTCAGTAATAACCCTCTTCCCCATTCCCCCATTTTCCTTTTCCTGAAAATAATTGGTCAGGTATCAACATTCAGTTTGTATCATCATATCATCATATCATCATATCATCAAAATAGAACAATTTTTTGCCATCGCTTTTAAAAATGCTTTCTGCAATCTTTGGGCTAGATTATGATTTTGAATTAAAAAATGATAACGTAAAAAAAATTTAAGCTTTCAACTTTTAGTCATTTTCATTCAATTATCATCACAGTTTTCTAGACACTTTCTATCTCATCCAAGTTCAATTTTATAATTGATAGCACTACGCATTTCTTTATCGGCTGACCCATGGCGGTTGAATGTTAAATGAATGCAGCAGCTGCTGGCAACTGATTTTCTTTAGGGAAAACATCCCAGTGTGAAAACTGAGAAGCGAGGCCCTCTATTATTGCGCCTCGCCATGAGCAAGACGGCTGCGTAGCCCTGCACAGTCGGACTGTCCTTCCCAGTCTCCCCGCCGAAAATACTTGTTGCTGAGAGAGAAGTCGCTCTTATGAGGTTTATGTCTTAAACAACAGAACTAAAACATTCCTTCCAGAAAATCGCTTCCAGAATGAATCAGATGGAACATAACTACAAGATCAAAGACTACAAGCGTTATGAAGCTCCAGGGCCGTTCATTCGAACCGGCTATCGCCTGAACTATCCGCAAAACTACCCAAACTCACAAGAAACGCGGAGAATGGAAGAACGATTCCAAACAATACAATGGCCTCGAAACAAGACGCTCGTCGGTTTGACCGACCAAGGAGATAGAATGAAGTTCACAAGAGATCAACAGATAAGCGTATTGACAAATCAAAGCGAAATGATTGCTGATGTGCAACATCAAAGACAGGTTCTTCTCGATACAGTCAAACGAAACATTCATGTTGCTAGGGACGAATTTGCTCGTGATGTTTACGTTGGCAGACCCGGTGTTCGCGATATGTTACGAGGCACTCAGCCGCTCTACAAGGTGATCAACAATGGGACACTCTATGGCTAAGGATTTATTTGTGAATTTTATGCTTTATTCTTAATTTTGACATCTTATGGCATTTTTTCTTTTATATTTAAGTATCGCATCGAACAATGCGAATTTTTAAGAATTTTTACAGTTTGTCTATTATTTGTTTCGGTGAGGATACATGGGGTAGACTCGTTCTGTTGTTTAAAACGCCTTTTTGATATACGATGAAAATGTAGAAAGCTAGTTTAGATATCAACTTTTAAGCTTGAATTAAAATTCTGAATATTTGAACTCGCTATTTCCATGAAATATTATTGACTGAAAATATTGTGTGGATAATGATACTTTATTACAATTTTGGTGGCATTTTGTATTTTTTTTCTTCCACAAAATCAGCCGTTAGATTTTTATGTGTTAAAGATATAGTTTTATTTTGCCTCAGTTTCCATTTCAGTGAGAAGGTTTTTCCCACTTACCAAGAAATTATTTTGTATTTTTAATCTACCACATACATGCAAATGTGGTTGGTGTGGTGAACATTAAAGCAAGATTTTTCACCTTATAATTATCGTCAATATGGTGTTGCCCATAATGTACTTAAGTTGCAAACCAGTAGCGGCCAAATCATCCCTCTAAGGGATGACTCACCTGAAGCAAGCATCCCATTTACGTATGAAATATAGCCATTTATCACATGTCTCTCTGCCAGACTGCAGAGTAAGGCAGAACTCAATGAGATCTCCTGCCTGTAAATGGGAAACTTAAAGTAAGAAAGGGAAAATTGAGTGAAAATCTGCCATACTCTGCAGAAAGGTCTCTGAATGATAGCAATCTTCGCAATTAACACTACTTAAAAAGAAGTGAAAATAAGACCTGAAAAAAACTCAGGCCTGTACGGGATTTGAACCCATGACCTCTGCAATACCCATGCAGTGCTCTACCAGACAGGTCTCTGTTGATTAATTATCATGGGCAACACATCATATTTATCATGAAACATATTCTTTGCAGTTAGTGTTGGTCATTAATCTTTTTACTGGTAGATCACTGATGGGTACAGAGCATTCAGTGTTTTGCCATAACAAATAGCTGCTTTGTGGGAAATGAACCATGGCCTTCCCTCACTCAAGAAGAGAGCACTTCTCCTTTGGAAGGAACCAAAAGCACAATCTAAAAAGAAGTGGGATCAAACATAATAAAAATTCGGAGGATTTTTAAAATCTGACCCAGCAAATGCTAGAAGCTAGGTGTTAAGCGTTTAGCACCTGGTATTTATTTATAAACTTCTTTGAGTCAGGGAATGTTGGCTTATAATTATTTTTTGGGTGTGTGTTAGAAACTCCCACTTCTTTTCACTGCTCTGCTGCCTCCTGCACCCTTGACTCCAGTTTAAACCTACCCTTAAAGTAAAGGATATATGGGTGATTGCAATTAAGGATTTCTCTCCCAATTTCTGCTGTCATCAAGTTGTAACTTCTTGCCCCTTCATCTCTACTCAGCTTTTTACCATATCTGTATGCCATTTGTGATTTATTAATGAACAGAGCAATGCAACATGGAATCTGTTAAGTGGAGGATATGGATTTAAATTCCCAAACCTCATCTATGATTATAGACCCAGCATGCCATTTTGAAAATGTTTTTTTTGTATCACTTTTGAATTATTACTTATTATTTTTGAAAACATGAAAGGAGATTGTCTTGTAAATCTTTTTTTTTTTTTTTTAACACCGATTTTTAACATGCCGACCACAGCACTTGTCATGTTCCATCCCTGAGCAAGGTGCTTGTTGACCATCAACCCGAGCCATCGTTTAAACGCGTCAGCGGTCCCCTGCTCCCGATTTCCAAGATGGCTGATTGTTCAAGTCCTTAGCATACTGCAGCTACTCCATAAAGCACAGTTTTAAATATTCACCAATACTACTGAAAATATGATTGGCACTTGATTTTCATTGTCAATGCAAGGGTAAAATCTCCTTAAAATGAACACAGGAGTATCACTCAGGAACTTTGGACAACAACATTCTCCCTGACGCGTATCAAAATGTAAGTTTATGTAATATACCGTGTAATTAATACAGCCGTTAAATATGCACCATGTGCTTACGTAGTAAGTTTGTATTCCTCTTTTGTTGCTTCCTGACTGCTGATACTCGAACTTAACTTCAAGGGAGGGTGGGGTCAGGATTGATCCAGAGACAAAAGATGGATCATCAGTAAACATGAAATGATGTTATGGGTGTGTTGTGGTGGTTTACTGAAACACATTCCTGAGTCTGAAAGTTAGCGACGAAGCAGTCAACTTGAGCATTTTCCCCAATCCCTTTGAGTTATACAGTTGTTTTTTGTTGATGTGCCTGCACGTTCTCTTTACCAACAGACATTATGTTATTTAATCTTTAATGAATAGAAATGAGGCGAGAAAGTGTTGTAGCCATAATACTCCATTGACTATTGTCCTATGTGCTTACAGCTGGTTTTCAGTCGATAGCGTTATGGAGCGTCATGCAGTACTTACATTTTGATAATTTTAATTACTCCTATTGATATGATTTTTTAAAAATACTGCTGTTGCGAAAATTTACCCTTTTCGACATGCAACTAATCAAATTACTAAGCTGGAGGATGATTTTACTCCTGGCTGTCGCTACAATACAATGCAAACGTAATACACAGATTTTCTTTACACATTCGGTGAAGTTGGTAACGTTTTCTGTACTTTCTTTCTCTTCTATATCATTACATAAACTATCTATTTTTTTTAATTACTTATAAACATGCATGAATTATCATTTAAAGCCATTTTCAATAGACTGTCGAAAGTCATCGGTCGAGAATGCTGTGGTTTCTCTTCCTTTGGTCCAAAAAACTCGCGTTACCCTCTCAACAAATTAGATACAAGCCTATTACCGATCACGACTTAGTCACCCTCATTTTCCCGCGCTTTGGGAAGTTTGCTTGGTTTTAGTTGGAGTTATCATTGATTCCTAAGGGAATTTTCGTTTCTTCTGAGAGTCATTTTGATAACATTGGTTTTCGTTTTACGACTCGCAATCGAAAAGTACTCTGAGGTATGAGTGTAACGGTATCTTCGTAATATCAATAAGGAAGAACTCTGGTCTTCCCACAAGCGATTGACCACCAAATCTGTCTGTACATTAAAGCCTTAACTCATAGTCTAATATGACTAAATGAGCTACTTATTTTAGAAGAAAAACAGCTGGCGAAACGACGAGGCTATGGAATGCATATCCCACTCGCTTGTCTTATGTTGCCTGTTAAGCTGAGATAAAAATGAATTTAATTCATTTCTTCAAGGAAGGAAAGTATGAAAAGCTAAATGGTCTTGATACGCTCGTGTTAAACATTGATTCTTTGAACATCTTTTTCATAGCCATATCACGTGCCATTTTCTTTAATTTGGCCATCTCCCGTTCTCTCCGTTCCTTTTCCTCTCTTTCTTTCTCCAGCCTTTCCTTTTCTAATCGTTCCAATTCTTTTCGTTCCATTTCGGCCATGCATTCTTTCCGAACTTTCTCTATTTCGCTTTCCACGAGCATAGAGACTTTTTTCTTAGCCTTCATTTGATCAGCGTGTAACTGGTTACGGAACTCCATTTCCGAGTCTTCCTTTCCTTGGAGGGCGTGTGTGAGATCAATGGCCGCTTGGGTTAATCCCAAAGAGTGAAGTTCCACAATAATCTTCTGTACTTCCTCAGCTCTCTCCAATCTTTTCACCTCATGCTGCAGAAGGTTCGCCACTTTCGCTTTACCGTTTACCGTTGTCAACACAGCAGCGAGACTATGTTTCCTTCTTGCACGCGCTCGATCCAGTTCGGCTTGAATCTTCCGGAGAGAAGCGAGTTCTTCAGAATGCGCCTTGCTTCTATCGCCATACTCAACTTCTTTACCTTTCTCTTCTTTTTTGCGCTGTGCTCGCTCTTGCATTATTCTAGCCTGCTGCTTACCTGCTCTTTCTTCCAGCCTGTCGATAGAAACTTTCTCAGCTTCAATCCGTGTTGCAATAAGTTGTGACCTCGTATCTTCAATTACGACTTTAAATTTTCTTCTCGTTTCATTTCTTTTTGCGGCAGCTTCGTATCGTAGCCTCGTCAGTTCTTTTTTCAACGTTTGTTTAGCCCTTTGGCGAATTTCCTTTTCAGCAGTCGCAGAAAGTTTTATCAGATGATATTCGTCATCAACGTTTTGTTTGGGCTCATCTTCGCCATCTTTTCTCCCGTTTCGTTCTTCGTCCTCGTCTTCTTCTTGAAGCGCCATCTCGTCAAGGTCACTGTCGTCGTCCATCTCGGGGGTGATTGAGCTAGCGCTTGTGATGAGAGAATGAGTTTCTGATCCCGTAAGACTTGAATTTCTCTTAGTCCCTTCAATTTTTGGTAAAACAATGCGAACATTGTTGTGGAATCCTGTGACCGCATCGTCTTTGAATCTCTTTTTGTTGTGTGGTTCCATTTATACGACAAAAATGTCGCTTCGAGTTTTTGTCAACTATTGTGTTGTATTACCTCAGCGCAAAACAACTAGGGAATTCCAAAATGGTACAATCCGTTTCTTTGATGGCCAAAAGAAATCTTTTTAAGGTGGGTACATCTAGTAAAGCTTCAATAGTACTTCCTTGTTTATCAAGTTTTTTCGTGTGGTCGCATTTCTTTCTCTAGAACAGTCCGTTTCCTAGATAAAGCAACTTCCAATTAAGATAACATCATGGCTCTGAAGTAGCCTATCAGAAACTTCTTTTATCTGGTATTAGCACGTCACAGCGATATCGACAGAACTGCAAGGCCCATTGATAGAAGATTTGGAAATTATTAAAGCGAATGACTAATTTCTTGCCGCGTGTTTTTATTGTTATTGTTTCGTGTTTGGATTAATAATTCATAAATTCTGTACGAAGAATTTATTAATTTATAAGCTCACTTTATATGATAAAATCTTAAAAATGATTATCAATGTTACCAGAAGCTTACAACCTGATGTTACCTAACTATTGGGCATCACCTGTACTTCTTACCCATCTTAATAAGTTAGAAGAAATAGGGGGGAAATTATTTTACACGTGAAATCTAAACTTTTCCAGCAGGAGGCATAAGTTTTTAGCTAGGGTTTAGAGCTCACGCATAACATCATAGTACTGCGAGCTACTTTGATTGCAGGAGCATCGGGTGAGGATTTCAGTGATGTTTTTTACTACCCGAATTCGAGTCATCAGTAATGATAGATTGCAAAGATTGCGGCTATAGTCAAATACTATAGGTATTCATTCTAGGTAGCAGCAGTAGAGCCATATCTACAGATCAGAATGATGATGGGGATGAAGACGAGGAGAAGAAGTTTATTAGAATGGCACTCATCAAAACCTGTCAGTGTGGCGTTTGCGTCGAATTTCTTAAGTTGTGCTGACATATTTGCTTTCCAATAGGCGTTTCTGGATATTTGCCCCCTGAATTCGCGTTCAGAACGTTCGGCATGCACAGGTGAACTGTAAATGAATGGATATCACGATTTTACAACTGAGTAAAATTGTCACCTTGCGATCTCATTGTGTTGTTGTTAGCTTTGTCACCTTTTTTGTGACAACACTTTCGGCTGTACTGGTTGTTGAATATCTTTGCGAGAAAGTTTTTTACTATAAACTGGCCTTAAAATAGAGTGTTAGGTGATAATATATCGAGTATTTTCTTTCGACGTCAAAAACTTACCTTCAACATGATTGATAAGATTAAAAGAAAAAGAAAATAAAATATAAAGGAGGTGCTGTACAAAAACAGGGATAGTAGACTGGTCTGGATGTGTTTCAAATGACCAACGTGATGCGGCGTGCCTTCACTTTTTTACTTCTTCCTTGCTTCTGCCTCTTCTTTGTTTCAACAACTCCATTTTATCACGACTCTTGTGTTTCTATCATGATCAGGGACTCGCGTGTTTAATTATAAAAAAGTTGACTTTTTTCTCTCTAAACTAGAGAGAGAGAAACGGCATGAATAATATCGTTCAGTATTTAAACTAACCTCTATTTCATTTTTATCGAAATGTTTGGTCGTGTTTTGTGAAAAACTATTTTTAAATGAAACGCGGTTTTTATCATCGTTTTGATAATAAGTTATCAATATGATCTCGAGGTATATAGGTGGTTTAAATACTCTGACACTTTTTTTGTCATGATTCACAACACACAATCTGCTCTCAGCGTTTTGTAAAGTCTGTCACGCAGCGCTGGAGGCGGGACTGCTGCGTTGCGTGACAGCTTTTGTACCGGTTGTTACCATAGTGAACTCCTTCGTGTGGTAAAGAAGATTCTGGTACTCGAAGTTTTTCCACTGATGTTTACCGATCAACGAATCATTCCGTAATTTATTCATTATCAGACGGCTCATGGTAACTCATGTAGTTACTATTTTCGTATGGGAGGAGGAAAAAAAGAGAAAGTGTGCGCTCTTGAAATTCGTGAGGTCAGTTTAGTTTGATCAAAACTTCGCCTGAGCGCTTGATTATGAGCTTTTCTTGCCAGTGCCGCCATCACTCGCCTACGTCTTTCTCGCTCTTCTCTCGCCTCTCTTTCTTGTTCCAGTCTCTCCACCTCAGCGATCCTTTTTTTGCGTAACTTCTCCACCTCCTCTTCCTTTGTCTTTAAAGCCTCAACGCGTGCTTTATTTCTTTCTTCCTTGAGCTGATGGCGTAGTGTAATGTCAGCTTTTTCTTTCGACTGAATTGACCCACGTAAAGAATCAGCCTGCTCATTTAACCCAAGATCAACCAGGTCTTGAATCAGGTTCTGGATTTCGTCGATCCTCTCAAGTTTACGCATCTCTGTTTGCATCATCTGCTTTATTTTTCCTGCTTTCTTTGCCTTCAGGATAGAGATGAGTCCAGTCGAACTCTTTCGTCTTGCCCGAGCTCGATCTAAATCTGATTGGATTTTTCTCAAGGCAGCCATTTCCTCGACTTGTTGTCTCACCCATTCATCACCACCTCCAAAGTTGTGCTCTGGAATTTCATTCCCCTCTTTTTTGTTCTTTTTGTTCAAGATTTGCCATTTCCTCAAAGATCTATTCTTCATTATCTCGCTCTGTTTTTCTTCTGCTCTTTCTTCCAACTTGTTAACAGCCTCTTTCTCTGCGTGCACTCGAGCTTCTATCAGCATGTCGCGAGCATTGTCAATAACCTTAGTGAATTTCTTTTTTATTTGTAACTCTTTTAACCTGGCATTGTGCCAAATCTTTTTGAAATCTTCTCTTAGATTTTCTTCGACTCGATCCTCAATTTCTTGCATGTCTTTTTTAGAAAGCATATAATTGTCTGCCCGTTTATTAGAAGACAGTTTTGCATCGCTGCGAAATTCATCCAAGTCGTCGAACGAAAATTCCGAAGTCGAAACACTTTTTTCGTCTTCATGACTGTTACTGTTAGAAACAGGGGACAAACTATCCGAGTCGCCGTAAGCAGAATCAATACTTGGCAGCCCCAAGCTGCTGGTTTTCCTTGTATTTCCTCGATAAGTCTCCTGGATTGTATCCAATCTTTCGAAAGGATTTCCTCTTGCATCTGACTTAAAAATATCGACCAGAAACGGTTTATCGCGTGGAAACGACATCGAGTTCTTTCAATTGATAGTGCTTGCTGATCGTCAGTTCTCACCCGGCTTTCGACACGAAATCAATAAAAAGAAATTTGTTCCCTAATTACATGCGGTTACTATGTTATATGTTATAGGGACCTCGCACGGCGCTCTCATTCTTTGAAGTATAACCACACGAAACTGAGAGACGTGCTTGATGTTCTGCGATGATAAACACTACCTTCAGTGCTATCATTGCCTTTGGCTTATAACTATTTTTGGCCTTGTTTTTCGTGTCTGAGCAATCAAGGACTTGATAGGAAACTCGCGATTGGAATCGTATCCCAGAGTCCAAGTTCCAGAAAAGTAAGTATATCGACGGATGTTTTTAAAAACTTTTATTTCATTAGTGTCTTCGTCTGAAATATCTTATCAATGTTTTCAGCCGTATTTACTTTAAGAGCACAAAGAACCTCATAACTTAATAATAAAGCGGTTGACGATTCGCTTGTTTGAAGTATTTTTACAGCGACCAAACGAAAAACAATAAGATCAATAAAATTCTACAAATAGAGAGAATCTACGCTGTCAAAGTTAACAATAGAACCTAGACTAGTATGTGTCATTTCCTCTTTATGAATCCGTTTCTGCCGTTCAAGTTGTTTTGTGAGTCAAAATGATTTGGAACTGATTTAATTTTTTTTCTTTCCGCTTTCTTTTCTTTCGGAGGTAAGTAAGAAAAAGCGAAAGCAAGTCGTGTAGATGGTAACAAACATGGTGGGAAAAAAGGGAACCCACAACGGCACTTGTAGCACGAAGTGATCTACAACCGTGACTTTGTAGTCCGGATGATGACTCTACCTCGCTTAAAGATTTGCGTCGAAAGAGATCACCTAAGGATGAAGTCAGTGAAAATCCTTCAATGGTGGTCTTAAATTGTTTATTTTTCTTTGTATTTTCTTCACTTATTTTCCTAACCCTTTCGTTTTGAGCTCTGTATACAAAAATGTTCAGTCTTATATGACTTTCGTGAGTAGGAATGCATTGTTCACTTTTTACCTAAGCTCATGCTCCAATTGTTCAAAGCGCAGATGCTTGTATTTAGTCCGCAAAAATTAGGGTACAGTGAAATAAAACTAACTGAAGTGCGATGTACAGTTTTATACTCCTTGTACTCGACTCTTGGGTTATCAATGTAATTGCCGAACTTGCTGAACATTTCCTGTTTACCGCGGTTATCGCGCGAAACAGGATCATGTTTCTTCTTTCCTGCGCTTGTCGTTGGATACAGATTTTCCAGCGCTATGATAGGCCTATTTTTACTCGCACTGCTACTGACTTACGTGTTTCCCGCAGCACTACCAGGAGTTTTAATAAAACCCGGTTATCAGCAGTCTAGCACCCCCCCTAGAAGACTTCATACCGCCATCTGTTTAGCCTGTGAGCTTGCCCTCGTATTTAGGATGCGCTGTGCGACTCCTTTTCTAGGCACAACCGCCTATTACACCATCGGCAGCTGCCTGTGGAAAAAGTTATTGAAAACCCTGTACTACTGTTTAGTTTTCCTTTCTCTTCAGTGTTGTCTTCCTATTTTCCCGCTCAGTTCCTTGAGCGTTATTCTAGATATCATTGCTAAAATCAATGCTTGCTCTGATTGGAACCGGTTGTACTGTCAGTTTTTTTTTTTTTCAACAAACGAACTGGTTCAAGCTGATTTACTTAACTTTCGGCTCTGCTCAGAATGTGAGGAGCAGATGGCCCGATTTTTGCCCTTCTTCTTCGTTGACACACAAGAACATGTCGAATTTTGGCGGGAAAGACTTCTGTCGCTACTGTCGCTGTCCTCACTGCTTGACTGCTCATAGTCAGGACAAGCAGACCCTGATTCGGGTATATACAAAGGGAAATACGAGAATTTAAAAGCCCGTGATATCTTTGCGGATAGTAAAGCCTTTTGCTTTTCATACAAAAACGCAGTGTTTTTCTCTCGTCGTCGTAGAGCCTCTGCCCGTCTTTTCTCTCTTTCACGCAGTCTACTCTCTCTCATCTCCTCCTCCAACCTCTCCAGCTCCTCCATTCTCTGAAAGAAAGTCTCTCGTCTGTTTCTCTCGATATTTCTCGCCTTTTGACGGTTTTTCTCGTCTCTTTCTTCTTGAAGTTCCCGCTTGATTGCTTTGTTCAACTCTTTTTCTGTCATAACTTTAGATTCCAGAAGGTCAGTCAAGTTCTCCGCCTCTGTTTGTTTGTTCAGTTTGTAGAGTTTTCGTATGGTTTTTTTGACAGCTTTAGTCGAATTTGCCGGCTGCGAGGTATCGCTCTTACGCTGTTTTAGGATGCCTTTTGGTGGTAACCCATAACCTTTGAGAGTATCAACAGGCTTTACATCTCCATCAGAAAACCTGACATCTTTCTGTTCCTGAGTCGACTGTTCACTCATCTCTAGGCTAGACACTCCATGGTTCTCTTTAGTTTCTGTTGCCAACAAGTCGTCTTGCTTCTTGTTTGCATCTTGACAAGTTTGGTTTTCAGCGGAAGATCGACGGAATTCGGCGGATTCACTTATGGAGGACTCACTATTTGGTTTCTGCAGTCGCTTTCCAGTAAACTCTCGTGATTTTATCTCGTAATCTTTACGCTGAACGGAACGTTTTTGTCTTTCAGTTCCTTGTCTATGAGTTGCTGAATCTTTATCGCGCCTTTTTTTCCCACTTCGCGATGTAGTGGTTTCTTGTTTTTGTACGATTTCTGCTTGATGAATGGTTTCTTTAACAGCTGTTAATTGTTTCTGTAACTCGTTCTCAAGCACACGAATGCGATCTTGCAGAAGCTTTGAAACCTTTAAGGATCTTTCGCGAAAATCCAAGTTCCTTGTTGTGTCAGTTTTCTCAAGCTGTCTTAAGTCTGAAAACGACACCAAATATTTAGATCCTTGGACGTCGGGTAGTTCTAAACCGTCCCCACTTTTTCTCGTTTGTTTACCAAGTTCAGGAAACTCTGAGAAGCTTTTACTCGGTTCCTGTTGGTTTGGAAGATGAAGTTCGGCGTTTATTCGAGGCAGAGCCGAGTCAAAGCTGCTGGCTCTTGTGTAGACATAACTTCCGCTGTGCTCACTGTCTGAAGGGAGCATACTGCCCACAGGAATCTCAACTGGCTGAGTTTTAGACGCGGAATGAACTGAAAACTCCATGATGGATGACTCAAGGATGCTCTATCAACTACACCGGAGATGTTTGTTTTCAGTCCACTCGTTATGAAATTATTCCTTTGTTGGCATTTTACAGCTCTTTAGCGCCGCGAGTCCACCACTCAGGTCTCTAATTCTCATCCACTCAGGTGTAAATTATACTGTTTGCAAAATAGGTGTTGATACCAGCGACAAAAGTGAAAAATTTTTGCGGTAATTTTTACTCTTTAAATTCTCGTTTTCGTCTTAATTCGTTTCCGCACACTGTGTCAAAGACTTAAAATTTAGTGTTAACGACGTGGAACGTTTGTTTTTGTCCTTAATTATAGGGCGTGTTCGAAGGTACTACAGCAACTAACTCTGTTTGTTTCATAGACCCAACGTTCGGAATGGTTCGCGCTCAATTCATTAAGACGCTAGTCATTCATATCGGGTCGAGTTGTATACTTTTGTCGGTGCTTGCCCATTTTAGATCCCAGAATTCTCGTGACTTAAGTCAACTGGTAGGAAAGACCCATAAAGGTAAATGAAAACGTGTAACTGTAGGGAAGAAAACGGCGCCTGTCGGTAATGATGTGAGCTCTCTAAAATCGATGATGACGAGTTTCAATGTTCCTCTTGTTAAGCTGGGTTAAAAATATATTTTCAATTCTGCGCCATCTTTGTCACAATTCCTCCGCTTTTAGATTTTTAACGGTGTTTATTTTAAGGCTGTAAATCGCAGCATGTCTTGAGACATTTGACATCAAATAAACTTTTACATGAAGGTAATGGAAAAAAAGATGTGAGCGACAGTTGACTGATCAGTTTACACTTTTGATTTACTCTGAACTCTCCAACCGTCACAATTGGTTAGACTCAGGGTCATTAGCTTACAATTCCGTTCCTTAATGCTTCAGTTTGCGTTTGCGCCGTAAGAAACGCTTTCTTTGTATCATTCAAAGTTGATTGTTTGCTCTACTTAACCTTTTACGTCCTTTTACAATATTTCATGTTCGAATTTACTCCAAATACACTAAGTTTGCCCTAGAGTTTTGCTTAAGCATTGTTTTTAAAACAACAACAGCAACATTCTTTACCTATGTCCTCTTCAGATTTTACAAAATGTGGGAAAAATCAAGATAAACGAAAGGAATAATGTTAATAAATACATCGACCATATAATACCTATTTGCAAGAGGGATAAGTACCGCCTCGTAGAAGAAGCGAATACTAGTCGTGCTAAGTGAAAGTCAGTATTGTGTTTGTAGACGTAAATTTCCTTTGATCGCATTGAGGATTATAACATAAAAGAAAGCACGTTTTTACACCACTGTCAACCTGAATATTTATCATGCCTCAAAAATACCTCTATTTGTCGCATATTTTCAGTTTAAGCACCTTCTTGATTTAGAGAATGAAAAGGCATTATGTCGGGAAACTCTATGTAATCCCTGTGCAAAAGTTACGTAGATCATTTTGTATTGTCAAATTTGCTAAATTATTTTTTTCGCAGCTTTGTTTCCTTAACTACAAGTATTTTTTTGGTTTCCATTGTTCATGAAGAAAGTTTGAGAAAAGTGGAGGAGTTCTCGAAATTTCCGTGTATTGCCCTACCGAATAAACAGTTGTGACCCACCCCTGTTCACGTTTATTCAATCCTTTGGTTTGCTAAATTTTTGTCCTTGCCCTTTGCATTATAAAAGGTTGTTCCTTCCCCAACTTTTATCAAGTTTGCGAAGAAGAAGTTGCAAGATTTTCTTTCGTACAGGTTTGTTCCATTAGGACCAATTTTTTTTGTGAGCCATTCAACCGAGCAGGTAGTTGTTGTTTGAGATAATGTATTTGAAACCACAATCAGAGCACATGTTTATTCATATCGCGACGGTTCTGAAAGGATTCGAAAAATGTATTGTTCCCTTCACCTCATGCACGACAAAGCGGGATTTAGACCTGTCGGAGTGATGAATACAAATCTATGAGGAGGAATTGCACCTCGGCCTTTCCTTTGCTTCTGCTCCTCAGCGTTTTCCGAATAGTGTGTGGCATGTTTACACACTCTTTACCCTTAGGTTAGAACATGAAACAGATGATCGAGCTTTTATTTGGCCCGCATTAAACGGCTATAGCGAACTTCGACGAATGAGGAACAAAACCTCCCAAGATTTGCATTTACGTGAGGAGACTCGATGACTGAAGCCGACGAGAGCGAAAAAATTCGCCAAATAGTGGATTATTACGTGAATGATGAAGGTTCCAATGGACAAGATACCGTTTCAGGTTAGTATACGTGTGATAAAGCCACACATGCAAATAAATTTGTTTAAGGTAGAGGAACTTCAAACTCTTAAACGTACGTCACACGATTAAGTCTCTTTTAAGTGTAATCGTGAAGTATTCTCAGAGGTATAATTTTATCCCTAGTGGTTCTTTTTCGCCTTTCGTTTCGAGTTTGTCGCTATTCAATGTTTTCGCTTACCTTTTGAAGTATCTATCCGGTTTGAAACCCAAAGAAGATAACTTATTTAAAGCACAGTGAATTAATAAGTCGCCGACAAATGATGTGATCGATTAAACTTTATCACTTTAAAAACTTTCTTTTATTTATATCATGGGGTAATTGTTGGATTTACCGCTCAGAGCAGAAAGTACCTCACTTGGTTAAACTTCAAAAGTTATCGTGAGCAGTATCTTATCAACAGGTCGACTGCTAAGTGTTGAAACTTCGAATCGATTAAGATAGCAAATGGCACGTCCGAAATTTAACCAAACCATCAATACTGTCTAACTCGATTCTGCAAGACTTCGATCCTTTTCAACATAGATTATGGTAAGAGTTGTTCAATAAACCAGGAACATAACACATTATGAACCTTTTCGGGTTTGCACGTTAAGTTAATTATTCATTTAAGCAGGTCCCCATAATGCATACGTAATTTTGTTGTTTGTGAACAATCCCCATCAGGATTCGCTCCATCGGCTTAATTAAAACATCACTCCTGCATGCTATGGTTTATGTCTGAAGTGGTTTGAAAAGGTTGGAGGTCAGTAGAAATAATGGGACTTCGGCTAAAATTTTAAGAATGATTCCATCAGGGGAATAACTTTTAGATTTCTTTGAGATATTTCAAAGATGATGCACTTCTTTGTGCTTTGTTTCGAAAGGACAAAGGACAAAAGCTTTTGAAGGGCGGCCAGATGTATAAGTGGGAATAACAGGGTAATTTAGAATTATCAACTGAGTTAATAACGTAAATTGGCCACCGTAAAGAATTTAGAAAGCAGACGTTTCGAGCGTTAGCCTTTCGTCAATCGCTCTGTCATTAAAGCAGCCGACTGCGAGATCGAAAAGTCGAAGTTCGAATTCTTTTGGGCGTTACGTGATTTTATTGATTTGTCTCACGTTTGAAAAGGGTTAAACGCTTCTCCTTGTTTACTGACCACTCCTGGAAATCAGCGTAAAGCATAGTTCTCACTTCCATGTAGAACGATGTTCGAAAAGGTTACCAGCACTTAACAATAGATCAATGTCCTGCTGCTCAACTTGGAAGAAAATAAAAGAAATGAATTCCTCCAAGAATCAAAAATTCCTTATTATTTTGTTCCCCAGTTTGACTTCATTTGCATAGATCTGAAATGTTTTGATGAAAAATCTCGTGCTTCTTGCCCAAATTGCAAGATAATGAGAAACAGCTCTTTGGTAAAATTTCCGCTCAGCCCCATACTTCATAATGCATTCAGTTCTTGGATAGAGAAAACAATAACAAAAACCATACATTGCCATTGGGAAAACAGATTTGTTGTAAAATAGTATGGGGCTGTGCGGAAATTTCACCTAGCTCTGTTATATTTTCCTAAGAACATCAATTTCTGTGATGGACCTAAAGTAAAGTAGTAATGTGGAAATAAGCCTCGTTTTTCGATGAATTGTGCGGTTTTCGTCTTGACCCGAAGGAATTAACGAAAAGTTGTCATTGTAGAATCCTTTTTGAAGTTGTCCTGCGCGCGCTCTTCTCTAGTTTGTAACCGCGCCATATCTTTAGGTTCAAACATAAAGGTCAGTGGTCATAAGGAATACTTATAGACTGAATTTGATCAAGCCGGACGGGAAATTATGCGGCTTTTGGTCATAACTCACTCTTGGTCAGTACGTCATGACCTCGAACTAAATGTTTTTTCTTTCGGTGCTCATACTCAGTCACTCTGTAGATAATGTGGATTTTATTTTTATACTTTGGCCCTCCGCCTCTTAATAAATTTCTTCCCAAACACGGAAGTCGAAACAAAGTATTAATGTCATGTTCAGAAATGTAATTTGTTTCAGAACAAATTTTGTTGAATAGTATAAATTTAGAATAGTCGTCAAAAATCGAACCTGAACTGTTTCGAAAAAAGCAAGCCATTTTTAACTCATACAAACGAGTTTTTGTGGGGATTCTAATGTGCAAATGAGTCATTCCCTCATTCTGTTTATACTGTGGTAACTAGCCGGCGTCATGAACTCTCTCGAGCACGAAACCATTTTGGTGTTGCAACCTAGTATAAAAGGATAGAGGCTTTGTTACAGTTTATACCACACATCGTTGCTTTAAACATCACTTTCCAAATGAACAAAAATTTCTCGAGTTCAGACACAAAAAACTACTGTGAATCGCCTCGAATGTTCATGATCTGATGTACAACAAGAACTGTGATTAAATTCGATTATCTCATGAAAATATTAGCGGCCGGACAATCAGGCGAACAGAAATAATCTTGTGCTTTGTGACAAAAGAAAACCTGTGGAATTCATTGCTGCATATCTCAAATTTCAATCAATCAAGAAAAATTGCGGTCACATGCAATTCTAAAGTATTTTTGTTCCGAGGCAGAAAACTTAAAGCTTTGTTATCAGATGCAAGAAGGAGAAAACTTGTAAACAAAGATCATTGCGTTACAATGCCAATATTTATTGAGCGACTGTGAGGCGAAACGTGACATAAAAATAGAATAGAGGAATTTGGCTGGCGCAGGCAAAGAAAGATTTGGATTGCAGCGCCTAAATTTGACGTTGCGCAAAACGGGAATTCGATAAACGCAAGATACTATGTTGTGCTGTTTTGTTGATTTTTTATGCATTTATTATTCTGCGGAGTTGAATGGTAAATATAATTGTGGAACTCCGTGGTTTCTTCAGAAGCTTGGCTTTTGAGATGAGAGCAACTTTGCATTCCTGTAAGGCCAATAATTACAAGATCACAGCCATGTTTCATCTCTAGACCAAGTACTTTAACTGAAGCACGAGTTGGCCAGAGGTATTCTTTGATGTAGAATTGAAGCGATTTTTCCATGTTAAAGTTTTTTCAGTATACTGAATAGTGGAGATTATTATTGGTTTGTCGGAGTTCACGAATGCTTCTTCAGCCATAGTCGTAAGTATATTTGCTTCGGAATTGTCAGTTCACCACGTACTGTAATTATCTTGTACTTGATCTCTTTTTTAAGTTCGGGCCTTCGAATTCGTAGACGAATTGTTTGTCAATGCATATCAGTATTTTGACAATTTTAGTGAAATGCAGTTCTTTTTTATGTATGTATTTGGCCAAACTAGGAAATAATAGCCCCGCGAATATGCTCGTTCCAACTTGAGAGGTTATAAGTTCCCGCCAAGATAAGTAACAATGCCTCTTAATGTAAATTAGGAATGAATGTGAACAATCGAACTTTTGTTTTAAAAGACAAGAAGACATAGAAATGTGACATCATAAAGGGCGTGCAATTTAGCCTGTCATTTCAGAGAAAAAAAGAGGCGAAATTTTAGACTGTTAGATGTTAACATGTTTTGGTATCTAAAGACAGATGAATAAATTTTAGTACCGGTTTGTCACGGTTCACAAAAGTCCGTTAAAACGATTTTTTGTGCGAGTACATAGCATTTGTAACGGCTGAATCGTAGGGACTACCTGTATTGTTCAACTTTATTTTGTTCCTACACAATAGTTAAAATTCCCTCTGCTGACTGTTTGTTCTACACCACGCTTTGCGTAGTTTTGATAGTTTTAGCCAGCATTGTAAATGCCTGTGAAATTTAGATTTCTGAACGTCTTCGCTTCAAAAGTGCCGGAATGTAATGTTCCTGATATCAATGATCGAACGATCATCAATTAACTCAGTTCCAAATGAAAATTCCGCTCACGTTCATAATGACGAAGCCTCGGTATCTTGTATTCAACTGCAGCAGAAATTGACTGTCTTCGAGAATGGTAGCTTGAGTGATAAACTTAGTTCTTTCTGATTTGCAATTATGAAGAGGCAACCAAACAACTGTTTTATTTTGCAGGGGAGAGAGTCAAGATCAGGATTGCTATTGGATTCGCTGCCACCTGTGCTGTGCTTTTATTAGCAATATTTATAATATTGTTGTATAAGGTGCTATGGTTCCGATCCAAGACCGGAACTAAGACCGACGTCGCCAGAAAACCGTCGTCAAATGGTGTACCAGTGCGACGTGCGCCAAGCCCTGACGACCAAGACTTTAAAAAAGGTCGCCGACAACGTCGGCATCAACCTCTGATGAGATCCGACAGCTCTGTGTCCGAAATCGACCTCGATTCGTGGTTGCATAAAAACAACAACCGAATGTCTGCTAATGAATCAGACAGCAGCGAAGAAAGTCTTAAACTTGGAAAGTTGGAGTTTAACATAAACTACGATACTAATAAGGAATGTTTACGAGTGTTGGTGTTAGCGGCGTACGGTTTGCCGACTATTCACAGTACGAGCTACGTGGAATTGTACTTGCTACCCGACAGAGTTGAAAAGCACCAGACTAAAGTACACTACTCTAATAGCAATCCTTTTTTCAATGAAGAATTCGTGTTTGATATCGCCTTTTCGGAACTTGCTGAGCGCACCTTACAGTGCTGTGTGTTTAGTTACGATGGATTTTCGCGACATCAATCCCTAGGGGAAGTTTTTTATTCGTTTGGCGAGAATGATCATTTGAGTGAGCACGGAGGAGTAGCATTATGCAAAGAGATCATGAGAGATGCGTCTCTGTTAAAGGTGAGATGTTCATTTTGTTAGCTCATTTTTATGGCCAGTCTTGAAGCTAATATCTAAAGCAAACAAACTGAATTGAGGCGCCTACGTACTGACAGCCCCACCCTTCTGATAATAATAGGACCAATTTTCTGTGTGGATGTTGGCTTCATTAGTCTAATTCATAATAACACCTCCATGGTAAAAACCCGGGAGCGATATGTTTTTTTTTAATCGTGTTATCACTGAGTTGGGACGAAAAGTGTCCGAGTTGTGGTTTGTTTGTGGTTCGCACCATAATACGAGAAGAAATTTTCGAGAACTGAAGTTTCTGTAACTCCATTAACTATGCTTTTTTCTTCGCAGTATCGAACTTTTCTTCTTTTTCATTGAAAAAAAAGTCTGTTCAAGTGTTGCTCATTCTCGTTACACTGATTTTATTCTTCTTTCCATACCAAGGAGGATAGTCCATCCCGTGCAGGGGAGGTGCTAGTGTCACTTTGTTACCTTCCCACCACCAACAGACTCACATTTGTTGTCCTAAAAGCGAGGCTTTCGAAAACTTCATTTCCAAATGATTTGCCACGTGAGTACAATTTGTATTTCAGTTGGAAAAAGATTAGTGTTTGATTTAAAAGAGTAGTCTTCTCTGCTGTTCGAGCACGCTAGAATTTGAATTGAAAACTGACTATATTTATTGAAGTGCAAGGCTGTCACAAAAATGCAATTATTCACACAGGACAACGCACCGTGCGCGAATGCATTCATGGAGCTTAAACTCGTTTCCACAGTTTCCCTTCAGCTCGGGAGCGAGGTGGTTCAGACTCCAGTTAAGACAGAACGCGAAGGAAACCTTGGTAAAGTTTCCGTAGAGCCCCATACAATTGTAAAACAAATCTGTTTTCCCAATGGAAACGTATTGTTTCTGTCACTGTTTTCTCTATTCAAGAACTGAATGTATAATGTAGTATCGGGCTGTGCGGAAATTTTACCGAAACCTTTTTTCTTCGATTATAGGAAAGTCTTTGGCTATTTTAGCATATAATTGAAAATAAAATGGTATTCTCCGTGCAAAGTTAATGGATTGTTAAAAGGTAGAGACAGTAATTTAAATTTTAATTAGTGTCTTATCAGATCTATACAGGTATTAATTCTTCGCCACAGGTCTTTTGTTCGACGGAATTCATGCGTGCTTCGCTGGTTCAAACAAATTTAACGATTTCGTTCTCCGTTCGAGCTGTTTGTTAACCTGCTTGCAATTATCTTACAAAGTCAGGGAACTGCCTTTGTATGCAGAATTAAGTACTAATGGAACTCCGCTCAGCTGGAGTGTTCAATTTGTGAAGTGACTTTTTTTTTTTATTTTTTGTAACCCCTAAAGCTTTCCCCAAAGCCAATAAGCCTCTGTTTACAAGAAATTTATTCGAGTTTCAAATCATTACCACGAATTTACACCTGCAAATTAAGTAAAGAAAAAAAAACCAGCTGTGGACTTGCAAAAGAGGCTTTGAGCTTAACTGTTTCCGTGCAAGATTCTCCATTTATACAGGTCTTCATTATGTCCTGTCTTCATCAATATACAACACCTTCAGGGAAAATAATAGCAAACAAAATCCACATCACGTAGACATCTCAAATTTTATTTTTCTAGTCTACTGATTTCTTTATGAGCTGAATATTTGCATTAAAGAATAATTAGTCTCTTTTTATTTGGCATTTGTGGATGCTGTGGCCATAAAAGAATCTATAATTTTACACTTCAAATAGCAGCCACTTTCAGGAACCGTTCTGAACCGTGTAGAACTTTCAGTATTATAATCTTTAAATTAATGTAATTGATCTCTTTACACCGTATTACGTATTGAAATCTCCATATCTTAAAAATAACTTCTGCGGTTTCTCCTCACTGTCGGTCATGTTAATACTTTGTTGTGTTCTATGAAAATTGAGTAATATCCGAAATAATTATTTTATTGGCCAGTCGTACTGGATTCTTTTTCCTTAAATTTCTTAAATAAGGATTTCAAAAAAGATTCTCTCTCTGCATCAAATGTTTCGCTTTTCAGCACAACATGAACTGGAACTGAAAATTGCTTTCAGTTCATTTGTTAGTTGCGGCAGTAGATTCGGTGTTCTCCGTTGGCCCTAATTTCTGTCGAACACTGTCCCTTATAAACTGCAATGCGTCTGTGCTTTGTGTCATGAATTTGTCTAACAAAGTCAAATTGCCACGACTGCCTGATTTCGAAGGCAAATGTGACACGTTTCGCTTTCTGTAATTTTGTGAATGTGTTAAATCTGAAGTAGATTGGGTTCGCCTGCCCGTAAAAGGCGATGTTCGCTTTGCCAACCCTTCGGTGGTTTCAACTCGAATGTCCCACTGACTTGCTGCTGTTGAAGTTGGAAACCGGCTTGATCTCAAACGATTCGTTTGCTGCCTTGAGTGTTCTCCGTTAACTCTCGAGCTACTCCTCGAAAAGAGTTTAAAGTCAAGTTGTGCCACCTCCGGCAGCCGTGAATATTCCGACAACAATTGCGCATCGTCGTCATCATGTGATGGCTTTCCGTTCAAAACGCGTTCGGAGCGCAAAGCTATCAACAAGGCTTGTTTTTGAGCCTGAGACTGGCGAAGCTGTGACTTGACCAGCTTAATCTCCGATTGTAGTTCACTTTGCCTGGTTCTCATATCGGTTACTGTGTCTTCCAACGTTTCAATGAATGCTCGGCTCTCCTCAAGACTGTCATAAGGTCCGGGCGGATCGTCGAAGCAGAAGAACTCCGCCGCCGGTTGCGAGGTAATAACTTCCTGCCTTATTAACACATTATCGATGTACTCTTGCAAACCTTGTTTTCTCATTTCTATGAAAGAAGGGTCAAAATTATCGCCCCAATATTTTTTAGGCGGAAGGGTAGCGTGAAAATCTGTGAATAACTTTCTTAATGCTTCGTCCATACGGACAAAATCGGAATATCTTCGGAAAACATGCCAATTTCGCTCGCCTCCAAGTTGGACAAAGATCTGATAAACTGTGAATCTTTTTCTCGCTTCCACCACTTCATAACCAACAATCGGCGCGTGAATATCAATTTCCTCGATCGGTTGGAAAGACTCAAATGTATTTCTGTTGTCCTCTGAATCGTTGGATGTTTTTTCAGCCATATGCGCTGTACAGATATTTAACACTCCATCTGTACTTTGAACCAAATACAAATTTCAAAACCTTAATATTTCGGTTTCCATCGGTATTTAAAAAACTTACTGTACTTCGTGTGTTGCGTTACCTTTGAATAAACACCTCTTTAAATTACGAAAGGAAAATAATCGGATGTGTTTTCATTCTGAATTCAGAATATTTACTCATCGACAGCCCAATTTCCAATTCAAATTAGATTTGGATGTGCTTGGATACGCCTCGCGAAACAGCAAACAATACGCACTCGTGGTAGTTGTTATGTCAAGCCGTTCATAATGTTTTCATAGTTTTCGATAGAAAACTAGAAAATTCTGAATGAATGACAAAAGCAGATTTCACAATTTCTCCGTTAGCAGAATTTTACAATATATTCTTTATTACAAGAGCAAATTGTTTTAGTGCAAAGTGTATGGATTTTATTATCAGTGTTATATTTAACTTATTGGCCAAATCCCATGCAAAAGCTCTTGGCGACATTTGCTTTTAAAGTAAAACTTTTTTTTACAATTTTTTTAGCGTAAGGGCTAAATACAGAGAAACAACAATAAAAATGGTCTCGACAATTTTAAAAAATGTTATTTGCCAAATAACGATCTGCTTCTGACGATGCCAAAAGAATAACCACTCTAAATAATTTTTAACCTTAACATAAATCGCCCTTTGTCAATATTTACTCAGAATTTAAATTGCTATGGACACAATATGAGCCAAAGGCCAATACAATGCATTGCAATGCGCCAAGAAGAACAAGAAATAAAAACTTTTACAAAAATATGTAGCTGCTTAAAGACCTTGAAAGAGTTTGCTGAAGCTGCTCAAGTGATCTTTTTTAATGTTCGCTAATTCTGACAAATTAAAATAATCAGTCGAGGAACAGATTTTTAGATGTAAACGACAACAAACCAAGCAAGTTGATTCTCGAGCGTTGTGAATGACACTTATATCAGTTGGAGCAAACTTGAATTGGGTCGGCCTATGATTTTCAAGTTTAATTTTCCAATGGCATTGATGAGAGAGCGTTCTCCAAAACGAAAATAATCGCCAGAAACATCCAGTTATAACAAAGGCCAGTTTCACAAGGGCCAATGAGAACTGAAAACGCGAGTGACCAGGTCGTACTTTAGTTTTAAATGTGATTGGTTGAGAATGTGACACGAGTATTCTAGACCAATCAGAGAGAACAATGAAGCAAAAGTCAACCAATATCAACAATTTTCGACAGTCATTTAGAAATGCTATAAAGATGTTAGATTACAGCTGCTGACTGCGCACCAAGTCTCTTGCTTAGTTAGAGAGAGAGAAAAGACTAACCGATTCTTTAATTACCGTCCTGCAATACTATGAGTCAGGTTGAGATGTTAGCACATCGTCAAGTGTCTCAAGGGAGTTATGGCATTTTCAGCTAACATTTTCAGCTAAAGATTAACATTAACTTTTTTTAACGACTAACGGTAAAAATTTGACAATTTTAACGCCAAACGGCTAAATTCTTTTGGCTGTTTTACGTCTAACGGTTAACCCCATCGAGATTTGGCCATTTTCATATGATGACATATGAAATATTTGTTTCCATCCTTTATCTTCTTTTTTTGCTTTAGATCCATTTGTCAAAGTTTCATTGATGTTGAGCGGTCGACAATTAAAGAAAACAAAGACCTCTGTGGCCAAAAACACCTTAGCTCCGGTGTACAACGAGGCATTTGTATTCGACGTCCCAATCGATCGCCTGAGTGATGTTAGCTTGCTAGTGCGCATGCTCGACACTAACACAGAGGACGGGAGGCGACCGCAAACCAAAACCATTGGCAAGGCGATCGTGGGACCGGATGCACAGACAAGTATTGGCTTACATCATTGGAACTGTATGATGACAACTCCGAGGAAACCCATCGCTCAGTGGCATCCACTGGTTAAGACTTGAGATGGATGACTTTTAACGGATCGGTGATGTAGCTCTCGAGGTCGACACTGAACGGAGGGATCCATTCTAAGATATTCCTATATCTCAATTAATTCGGTTGAATTTCGTCAGAGATATAACAACACCTATAGCAAAGGTATTTAACCTTATCAATTTCAAGGGTCATCCGTCGTAGACATACAAGATTCTATATTTTACAGTAATGTTTTGTTCACACAGTAACGATACGATAAAGGGTTTAAAATATAAATGAAATTAAAATTAAGTTCAGGAGAATTTTTTTTTAATCAATCCAAGTACTATTCAACTGCACTACGTAGAGAGCAAATAACGTGCGGATCGGGTACAAGTATCACACGATATTTGAACAGTTGGTTACTTTGTACTGTTAAAAAAAAAAACTCGTTTAACTAGTCGGCTGCGCGTGCTTCGCTTCTCTGTCTGCTTTGCCTTTTCTTGACATGTAAGAATTGCATGTCGAATAAAGCAGTACCTTTTTAAATCGAGTATTTAAGTAAGAAGTTTTATATTCATTAGACGAACACCAAGGTTTTCGTAAACTTGAAGTAGTAACTTGTTCAAAAAGTCATGGTAAAAAACAATATTGCTGAGCTTTTGCCGAGGAAGGTGAAACAGAAAGTGGATTATTAACGTAATATTTGTTTGCTTTATATGAACCGCTTCACGCTAAAAATTAACCCTTTCATTCCCAATTGTGACCAATAAGTGATTTTTCCCCTCAAAATCAAAAAGGTGACGAGATGAAAGAATGTGTTCAAACACAAAACTCTCTGAGTTAAAATTATGAGAAATCTATGGCAAAGAGTGTAGAGATTGAGATTGGTTTACGAATTACTGCAACAATTATGAGAAGTGTGACATGATTAGGAATCGGTCAAGTATGTAGTGAAGTCTACGGTTATGGTTTTATTTCACCCGTTTGGTATTTTTTTTGTATGGAAATTTTATTTTGGGTTTAAGATATTTTGATGTTCAACTTTGTATTACAAAGAAATTACATTTTTTCCTCAATAAAAATGATTTAAATAAAAGTTCATAATAATATCTTTGCTATGTTTTTACAACAAAACAAAAAGGTTGTGTAGGTCCTGTTCGCGTAACTTAATCGAAGATTCTTCCGTTTGCGGAGAGAATCAGCTCGCTATCGACCTCCTCCCCGGCAGTTTTCTCTGAAAGCTTTATAGCTAAAATATGACTTTGTACTTGGCTCTGTGCCCATAGGTTATTTATCAGCAATTCTTTTTCGCATCCGCCTTTTCCAGGTCAAAACCATAAAATTCCTTCACGTTCTGCTTCCATTACGATGTCTTCCTGTTATTAAAGCCACTTGGTAAGATTCAGCCGTTAGGGAAACCTTGCATTCATCTTCCGGTCTTCAAATAAAATTTTCCAGACTTCTGTACTTGCAAGCCGGAAAAAGAGTTTTTGTTTCAGTCCAGTTGTAACGCTAACCACATAAAGTTCTGTCCCAGTATTCTTCGATTAATCTCCTGCAGAGCAGCAGGAAGCCTTGACAAAAGTTCCGGTGGTACACTGCTTTTGCCATCATTCCGCTTAGTTGCGGACTGCCCTGTTTGCAATCGAGATGTTCCCCTCTTCACTCGTCTTTTCTTATTTGTTTTCCTTGCTGCTAATGGCTTTCTTTTCACGGGAGGTTTGAATCCTGGTTGTTCTGACACTGATCCTGCCATGATATTCTGCGAAAAGACGATTAAAGTTAATTTACATTTTTGAAAAGCGTGACCTGCGGTTTAGGGAAATGGATTTGAAGTGGAGAGGTCATTCTGGCGCTCAGATGAATTTGTTCCTCGGAAGCGAACTCTTCAAGTCCACTGCACTTTTCAAATAACACAACGGCGCTCCTCCTAGCGATTGTAAAATGTTCAACAAGTTATTTACACCACGCAATTACTACTAAATCTATGTATTTACTGTACTTTGTCCTCGATTAGCATAAAAGACACAAAATACATCACCTATCGATCATCCATCTAACTCTCGTTCATTCGTTTGGCTCACAAGACTTTAAAACCTTAAAATCTAAATCTTTCAGCTGTAAATTACCTGTGGTTGGTTTTTTCAGTCCTTTGTTTCTTGGAAACAGTTAGCGATACACAATGTAAGATGCTTATGTTCGAAAAAGCGCCAAAGTTTACTCTGTAAGCTGCAATGCTGTCTGACACCAAATGAACTCGCAACAACTTGCCTTTAACTTATTTGCCAGTTGCGAGAGATTTTATGCCCACATTGCTGGAGCAGTGTTTGGTTGTTTACTAATTCCGTGATAATATTCCTTAAAAGGAAGAAGGAAGTAGAAACGTGACCTCCTAACAGAGCTCACCTCACGTCTCCGGTGACTGTCACGTCTTCCGAGATTCGAAATTTCGAGAAAATAGATCCGGAAAATGAACAATACTGTAGTTTACATAATTCCTCATGTCGCATATTTAGAAATAATACCTTTCTTCCAAGCTGGAGTTTTGCTTGCTCTTTGATCTCACGTTCTTCTCTCTTCCTGTTTTTGCTCTCCAGACGAGAGTAAAGTTCTGCTCGATATTCTGAACAAATTGATGGAGAGAAATAAGAATTTTCCAGATTATTAAACAAAAACGAAACCTCCCTGAGCTTTTGATTTATCCGATGGCTATTCGTAAGTCCTATCTCGCACTTTATAAGAATGTTATTCAGTTGTACCTGAAAAACGTTTGCCTCCGATAAAGCGATGCGCATCTTCTAGTACGTGGCCACACACACATGATCTTGATGTTTCTGTAATCTGAGGAATAGAGACTTGTTCGTGAGAATAGATCGAGTAGACTGCTTCGCTAAAACAGTCGTATCCCTGCATCAGATACTCGGTCGAACGTAAAATCACCATAACCGTGATCATCAATTGATTACATGCAATAATCCTATCCTTATTCAAAATTTGACTTAAACGCATTGGTCGCTTTTAAACGGAAGTTTGAAAGAATTTCTCTGAAATTATTTGGTCTATTCCGACCTCTACAGTTAACTGGAATAACAATTCCAGAATCTTGTCGGCTTCCGCATAGTTCTTGGGAGCTTCTGACCCGGTATCATTTTAACAGGCAATATCCGTACGGAAATCAATGTTATTATTTTGCGGCTTGTACCTAGTTGGTAGTGTTACTGTTTAGTACGCACCTTGGGCAAAGAAAATATATATCGATTAAAGGATTTAAGCGAATTATAAGACTGCTTTGGAAAATTTCGTAAGCCTGACGTTAAATCTTGCGAAATTTCCAGTTTGTTTATTTAATCGACCAAAGAAATGAATTAATGTTCACATCACCGACTTCCACACTAATTCAAAAGCAACGACCGAAAATTCGATTTTGCAAAACCAGAATCACGGCGAGAATGTGACGGGACTTACCAAACTATTACAAGCGAGGCACTGTTGAAGAACCATAATGAATCAAGTTTTCAAGCCTTCTCCTCCGTCGCTCTTTATTCACTGCTTGGAAACGTTCAAGTCGTAAATATTTTGGTTATCCTATTATATTTAACCTTATGCAAAGCCGCGTGAAAACTGGGTAACCATTCATGACGTCAGTGTCACAAATAGCAGTACTTTGACTGACCTGTGATGACACATCATGACGCGTGACTAATTATCTGGAAGCAAACATGCATCGGCGGTTGAGACCAGTTTAGCCCGACGTGGGTTTTTACCCCTGTCACTGTGGCCCACTATTAAATAAGGCCGGTGTTAAAATAGTAAAGCTAAGACGAACTCTAAAACGGAACTGTGGCCTTGTTGTGGTTAATGTGCTTATAACGCGAAATTTTTTTGTTTTGCATTTCTGGTTGATAGCAGTAATTAAAATTAGAAATAATCGACCTCAGCGCCTAGCGAGTTCTCGTTGACCATTTTTTTGTGCATTGAAATTAAGATTTGGCGCCCAAAAAGTGTCGCCATTAAGCGCGCGGTTAAAATGATCGTGCAACATAGCTGTGACGATGAAAACTATGAAGACACGTCGGCAACTATGGTGGAGAAAGGAGGAATCTACTGAGAAGAAAGGATGAACGTATTGCGTGGCTGGAGCGTCAAATTATGTTCGTTACAAGAATAAAACACACATATCAGGTATTTTTATATACTGCTTTCCAAAGAATGTAGCTGTATGGCCAAAATGGACGCGTTTCGATCATCGACATCGAGGAGATCTTACTCTTCAATGTCGTCTGCCTTATGCTCCGTACCGGCTTCGAAGACGGCTGTTAAGAACACATACCAATAGCCAAATCAGGGGGGGAAGATAACCAATGGATTCAGCTAAAAAGAATGCTGATTAAGGGGCCTGTTCCCACACCGTACTCGATTGTTCAACATTCTTTTCGGCTGACATTTCGCAAGCGAGGAATGGTGCATGAGCATCTTATAGCTGTTTATTTCACTCGCTCAAGATGTACTCATACTCCTTGTCTTTCCACATGACTACATTTGCGCTTTTCTTATCGTCTGAAAATCCTACCAATTGTAGTTTCCATCATATTTTAATAACAGAAATACTTTATTTGTAGATAGAGTAGATAACAGCACTGCAACGAAATAAATAAAGAAACACAAATGTTATTGGATGGTTGCGAATCCAAGTGCTGTGTGAAAGTTGATGCAAACGAAATATTCATACTGATGATCTTAAACTTAAACTAATTATTTTTTCTCCATTAAAATCCCTATTTGAGATTGTGTTTTGAATCAGATGACTATAAACTCACTCGTTTTCCGTTTGACCGGATCGACGACGATCTCCTCTGCCTTGGCAATCTATGAGGAAAGGAGCAACTTGCAGTGAAATTGACCGATGACTTCTCGGCGAAAAATTATCGTGCCTCGTGATACAGCTGATTCTTTCGTTCGCCGCATTTAGTGCGATGGAATAAGATGTTATGGCAACGGAAACGAACACAGCTACCCAATCTTAAAGATATTTCGTCATAGAAAACAAAACACAAATGCGACAAACTAAACATTCAGTAACGGGAGTTTTTTGTTCTAATCTTGACCTGAACACCGCAGGCGATAAACCGTGTTTGTCAGTCTTCGTCGAAATCTTCGTTTGATGCACGCGGTTCTCCTTCGTAGGGCTGAACCGTACTCGCAACTTCCATTTCTTCTCTACAACTTGAGTACGATGTATCGCAACTCTCGGTAGAGCTTGCTGAAGGTAAGTATACAACGCTATCGGACATTATTTCAAAAGTATTTCAATGCTGACTAATACAAAATTACAACAGACGTAAGCGATCGCCCAAGCGATCCGTTCATACAGGTTTGCATTTCGCTCCTGGGGTAATAGGTTTAGTACAAGGAATCTAGGCTTGCAAAACACATGGTAGCTAGATTGCAGAGTGTTAAGTAATGGTCCCTGATTTTCATTAATGTTTTTGTCATTGTTTCCTAAGATCTTAATATTTTCAAACAAGATATCATTTAATTTAATGACTTGTCCTTTTTCCTATATTTATGCTGTCGGTGCTACAGAACTTACAGCCTGTTCCAAAAACTTAACGCCATCATAGCCGGGTAATTTTTGTAACTTCTTTTAGGCATAGCTTTTTGATGACGTCATCATCATCTCATTATCTCAATTAGGTCGGTGAAAGCCGGTTAGGCAACACACCAACCACTTACAAAATGCAAAAGAAAAATTGCACGCTACAATAAGTACAGTACAGAATAAAAAAATTAACTGTACAACTTGGCACGTTTTTTTTAAGCTTATGAACTAAGGTAATTCTTAAATTCGGCAAGCGACCCAATATCGGCGATGACATCAAGTTTTCCCTACTCTGCTGTTGTTTTAACCGCCAACAGATTTAGCTCAGTGAACACTTAAAAAAATGATCGCTCAAAATAAACACAACAGTATTACATCCAATCTGTAGGAGGTAGTCGGGTCTCGCCTACTGATTTTCTTTAGCCAAACAATACAAAATTTACGACCGGTGAATCTGGCTCTGACGTAAACATGCAGAAACATGTTTAAATCCGCAACGCTGCATAGCAACGCAGGGGAGTTAATGCTTCGATAGATGCACAAAAAATAGGCTTTGACAAACAAAATATTGGACTAACATGCGTTTCTTAGAGATGACGAATGGACGAGAATTTCACGGCTTCTTTTGTTGGAACAAATCTCCGAGAAATGTCTCTCAGAATTCGTATTATCCAGTGTATAATAATGAACTTGTTACTTTATAAATAGTAATCAAGTGCGCCGATGACGTTTTGAAATTGACTTGGCGAATATCTCATAAGGGTCTCGTTTCCTGGGTGAGTAACTAGTAACTATGAAATGTTTCATCTTACTTCGCGATGCTCGCTTCGATGTTAGTCAAAATTTTTGAAGCGGATAGGCGAAATGTAAAATCTGCGAAGCGACTCAAGTATTCTCAAAGCTAAATCTCTTATGCAAATTATTATGCCGCGTCTTGATAAACTGGGCATTGTAAGTACATGTCGCGAAAGACAATAGCATTGTGCGCGATGTTCAAAGTATACCTAAGTATTTCAAAGTAGATGTCAGCGCCTGAAAGGAAGAACCAACTTTAGTTGGACCACAGACATTATTTTAAAAGAATTCTTAAACGGATTGTTTTGATGTTTCAACTGCAAGATTGTCCTTTTATAGCTTTTTTTCTCCATCAAACGTCTGTAGTATTTTTATATTAGTTCACATCTGATAAACTTAGTTCAGTTCCCAATATCGTTCTATTTTGAGAAAAGAGGAGCCGCTCAGGAAGGAGACAGAGCTTGACGGCGGAAAAAGTGGAGAGTAACTTGGTTTAGAAAGAGAGAGAAGGAATAACGACAGAAAGATGTTTTGGTAGTGAAAAGAATTAGAAGAAATCTCCGATTACTTATTGCTCCTCAATCAATCAATCAATCAATCAATCATTTTATTTAGTGATGCAGGTTACAAAAGTGGCAGCCAGCCATGAGGCTGATGTGGACCTACAATTAACTAATAAAATGTGAAATAATAAACAAGATAATTTGTAAAATCAACCTATGGTATTTGAATTCAGTTCAAGTCAATAAAATGAGGTTCATTGACAAATAAAAGTTACAAACTAATCGAGAAATTTACGTACAGTATAATAATACTTAAGATATATATATCTCAGTCTAGTGTTGCTTTTCTCGTATCATTTGTTACGCTGTTTTTCCAATAAATAACTTGTAAAGATGACTAACTTTCCGTAAAAGAGTTAGTTGTGGTTATGGTCTTGCGATATTGCGAAATAGTTGGAATCCAGTCAGATTTTAACAATAACACATTTCATTTTCCACTTTCTCTGAGGAATAACCCAGCACGAAACCATAAGCAATTATGGTGATATTGATACCAACTCGTCATTTACGAAAAAAAAAAAAAAACCAGAATAAAAAAAACAACACACACATATTAAATTCACGAAGTCAATTCAGCTTCAATTTTATCGGAAACCAATGTGGAAAGAGAATGAAAAGATCGGCTATAAAAGAGTGAACAGAAATATAAGTTGACTCTTTCACACCCCAAATCTACAGATCTATTCTCGTTTTTGTCTGTAAGACAGTTCTGATAATTTTACTTTCGAGAAAAGATTACGAGTGCTGCATCAAACGGTACCCTGCTTAACTGATACTTTGCTTTCTCGTCATTACTTTTTGCATAACAATGTTTTGATATGGGCCTCTGTTGAATGATATTAGTTTTACTGATAAAACACTTCAAAATTCTATTTGATTACTTTATCACATTTTCCGAAAATGTGATGAAGGCATATCACTTCCAGAGAGTCTCTGGAAGTGATATACCTTTAAAGAAATCCTTGAGTTGTTGGGCACATATTGGTTTTAGGTATTCACCTATATGAAGCCATTTTTGGATGAAATACAATATTATAAAAATGGAAATTTACAAATTCTAAAATAGCCCTGAAAAGATAAGAGAAGTCTTTAACCAAAATAGCTTCACGTTTTGTTACAGAGAGGAATTTCTGATGTTCCCTTTCCTGTTAATAACTTTGCCCAATAACGTGAATCTTGTCATACAGTTTTGGACTTCCTGTTTTCAAAGCGCTTTTATTTTCATATCCTTGCCACGCGTTCCAAACGGTAGGTTTCGGGAGGTCTTCTTGCATCACTGAAGACTGTTTTCCTTCGCGTGAATTTTAGTTCGCTTTCGTGCCAGTGCCTCAAACAGTTTGGACTCTTCAACTGCACAATGCTATCCATACCATGTTTTGTCCCAGAAGTCTTCGATTTATTTCTTTGAGAGCAACAGGAAATCTTGACAACAGTTCTTTTGGAACTTCCGTGCTCTTGACCGGATGTTGTTTCACTATCGATGATGATCTCCTTCCAATTTTCCCTTTCGCTGAATTTCTTTTTCTTATTGTTCGTCGCCTTGCAGGTTTAAAGTGGGATTTTTTCGTTGTTACAGCCTTTTGTTCCTGTAGAAAGAAATTTCAAAAAGCGGCCTTGCAACTAAAACCGGGAATTTCTTTATCCTTTAAAATTGACGAATCATTAATTAAACGCAATATACTCCGTCACAACGTCAATAAATTACCCAGAAAACAGGTGATAACAGCAGCCAAACTTGTCAGTCAGAAAGTTTAACCTTTTTATTATTATTTTAAACTCTTTAAACTAATTCAAAGCAAGTGATATGTACACTGAGCAAATAGAGAGGAGAATTTCAAACTATGTCTTGGAAGTAGGACTGACTTGCTCGAAATTCACGAGTGACTGTAGCTCACCGAGAGCCCATCGTTTTGATATATCGCCTCAGAGTCATTTTGCTGCAACCTATCATCGGGGAATTTCATTTACGTTTACGCTGGTGACTTCTCAGTCTCGAAAAAAATAATTTTGTTATAAAAGCCAATCAGAATTTTTGTCAATCAGTTACCTTGTGTTTCATTGATGGTTCCTGTTGATATGCCTTCGCCTTTTTGCTTTCCCTGGCTTCTCTTTTCTGTCTCTTAAATTCCAGTCGAGAATACAACATGGCTCGGTATTCTAGTAAAACCAAAATATGAGAAAGAAAACCAGAGAAATCGAATTATTATTAAAAGAGACGACCTAAGGGCATCCAAGACATTTTAAATAAACTGCCTTATGGCGGTGTCACAAACACGGGATATTTTTTCATAAATGATCCGCAATCACTGTTAGAGAAATTTTAGAATCTTTTTGAACACAAGATAGTCAAGATTTTGGTTACCAACTGAAGACCTGGAACAAGTTAAATTTTTTCGCAGGCTTAACCACACATCCAAGTCATTTCGGAAAAGAACAATCTGGAATAGGGAATACATTGTTTTAATACCTGAATATCGTTTTCCTCCAATGTGACGAGATGTGTCCTCAAAGACGTGACCACACACGCATGATTTTGATGATCCAGTTATCTACCGATCAAGTCAGTTGTAGCTCAAGTAAGTTCTAATTAATAAGTTGTGTATATATTATATCACTTTTTAAAATCGCTTAATGCGATCTTTTCAAGCTCAAACTCAATACACGTAAGACTCCGATCACACGCTTCAACTGAATACAGGCCTTCAAAGAATTGCGGCCCTTTGCAGACCAAAAATTAAAAGTGCGATATATGTTATAAGTAATGAAAATTGGTGAAAAGCATCAATCAGATCGACTTTTAGCAAGAAATGTGCACGTAAAACGTGAATTGGAGCCACTTTAAATATGTAAGTTGCTGTAACCCTAAGAGGTTAGTCGGCCCTTAAGATTCTTGAGCTCTGTCGAGTAGAAAAGATTAGTACCCAAGAAAATCAGAATCAAGGCACATTGATATTTTACGGCAAAAAATGATGATTCAAAACACGGTGTTTGATATTTCTTCAATTTGAGAGATGGAAAGACCTCTGAAACTAATCCTCAATAAGGAAGGATCATAAAACGTTTTCTTTCGAAATAGCTACATGGAGGAAGTCACGATCAGAAGATTTCCCATCAAAATACGCAAGGGATCGTAATATTATAATCTCTTGTGTTACGTTATTTTACTGATGTATATATAACTATCCTTGAGAGATCTAAAAAAATTCTAAATACACCTAAATAAGTTAGTTTCATTGGTAAGACATAACAAAGACAGCACTGATTTAAGGGGAACTAGAGATGACTGTACGAAGATAATTGTGACTCCTAAGAAGCTGAGTATATGATGCATTATTGTTTAAGACATTACGTGGATCCTCGATATTGACACCTATCAGTAAAAATTTACTGCTTCTATCTATTTTACCCCGTGACATGTCTTCTTCAGAGTCAATTCATCATAACAACCTCACTCTAGCTCCTTTTTTTATTCCATTAATTTTTGTACTTTTGTTTTTCAAATATGACGTTTTCTTGGCGAATAGAGTTTGATCGCAGTCTGGGAAGGTTCAAAGTATTTCTCTAGTAAACAGCTGTTAAGAACATTTCATAAAAAAAATATTCAAAAACACACTCATCTTAATGATGTCTGACATTGGACTCACTTGAAGCTAGCTGTGGCAAGCAATTCCCTTAAGAAATTATTTTCAACGAAGCAACGAAACTGTACTGTAGAAAACTAAAGCAGAATTTTTTTTTTCTTGTTGGCTAACTCCGAGACAAAAAGTAAACGTCATCATTTCGCGCTTGTTTTCAATGATTCTGGAATCGGTTTACCCAGTTAAAATGTTCAAGATCGAAAAATAGAGAGAAAGAGGTTTCAAACTATATAGCTATATTTAGCATAGTGATGAAAAACATCGATCATTCACTACTAATCTCGTCACTTACCAATAAATTACAAGCAAGACACCGTTGAAGAACCATGTCTTTAAGGCTGACTAGTACGTTTTCTTATTGTATCAGCTTCCTACAGCTCTCACTTCTCAATAAAGACGTCAGAGCTGTCTAGCGTTTCATTTATAGGTGTTGAGTGTTCACTGCGTGACGTCAATTCTAAAAAAGGTATCTTGTTCGTTTACCGCTTGGTGACGTAATAATTACAGATATTTTGGGAGTTTGATGAACCTTGCATAAGACAAACAATAACCAGATAACTTATCTAGATGTTTCTTGATTTGTGTCTTTTTTTTTTTTCGAATTTTCTAACAGCGAAATTGTTGCATATATAGAGCATTGTGCCTTTTCGTCTTGTATCATCATAGCTGAGATTATCCTCCCTTACAATTACACAATCTTATAAAAGGAAGACCGCCGTAATTATAACCGCGGACTTCCGCTGAATTCTGTAGCAAGCAACGAACATGAATTTACTCCATCTCTCTGGTAATTCCCTTCAGGGTCATGAACTCGTGTTTAGACAAAAGGTAGTTATCATAACTAATGAAGATGCCTGTAATTTTTTTTTTCGAATTCACTCGCGCTCGTTTCAGGGTGGTTGACATTTCACCCAAAAGCGGTGGACCTCAAACGCACACAGATAACATTTTGATAATTTATACAGTATTTAAAAAAATATTCGGAGCGAACAGAATATGTCAAAACAACAAATCGAGAAATGCTCGTTAAGTAGATTTCTGAAGACAATACGACGAAACATGCTCAATCGGCAGTTTAAGGCGGCAAGCGAAAGAGAAATGAACGGGGAAACCTATGGTTACTTGGAAAAAGATTGTCAATAAAATGTGATTAAGGTTTCGAAATCTATTCGAACAAAGAGTTCGAGCTTTTCAGAAAACAAAAAAACACAGCAAAGAAATCTCAATGGCCGGTGATGCTAACTAGTCCCTATTTATTTTATTTACAAGCTACAGAGAATTCGCTCTTTCACAGTTAGTCGCATTTAAGGTTTATGGTTTTTCAAGAGGAATCAATAACTGTTTGACCATTTTAGCATTGAATTTATTCTCTGGCGCTTTCAACGACAGCTTGGGTACACACCAGTTTCGTTACAGGAATCAGTGTAAAGGGAAAGCAAGATGTTTTAAAATGAATATTTATAGACCATATACGACTCAAGATAAAGGGAAAGCAAACAACTTGTATGTATTTTAATATTAAATCGAGCGAATCACAGCCCTCAGTTGAACCTTATCAGTCGCTCAGCCGGACCTACGTGGCTTATTATCTTATTCAGCGACACTAATAATATAATGGACAGGAAGATTTTGTGATTATTTTGGAGCAAACAAAGTTATTTTGGGATTCACACGAAAATGTTTCCCACTGGAACGGTGTGTTGCCACACAGCTGAAAATTTTGTGTAAAAAGAATATTCTCTGACAAGATACCATATAATTCTTGACAAATTGGAAATGAACCCCAGCCTAAGTGAGTTTCTTGATAGGCGTTTTATCACGTTTTGTGGTTTCTTCTAATTTTATCAAACAAAAACTTATTTGTCTCTCGGTTTCCAAGGCCATAATGCAAGCCCTTATTATAACAGTGGAAGTATTGCGTCCGTAAATTGTGGCATTAAGAAATATAGAGGTTCAAAATGATTAATATCTGGTTTTTTTTTGTTATGCTTTAAGACACTTCAACACCTCCCAGTTTTTTACAGACTGACTTTTAATAAAAGAATATTTTCAATTACACAGCGACAATTTGGTCGAGCGGCGGAGCTTCCCGTCATCATTACTTAATGGAATCCGGGGCTATAGCAGTTCCACTGTATTCTGAAACCTCTCGCAACTCCGGAGACGTTATTCACACCCTGTGGGAATAGGCCTTGGTATATCAGAAAGCAAAGGTGTGGCTTGTATGCTACACAATCCCTTTACTATAATTGGAACTGAATTCGCCCACCAACAAGATCTCTAATATAACCATAATAACCATGAAGAAACAAATGATTCCTTTGCTCTAAAGTTGATTTTCGACCTTGTCTGTGATAAGAGCTGTTCGTTTCCACATAGATTCTGTTCTACTACGAATGATGAAGCCGGATTACTTCGTATAGCCGCTCAGAAATCCCAGTAAAGATGAAAAAGTGGGGTGAAAGTGATATCAAAGCTAGGATATTAGAACAAATATCGTGATCATATTAGGGTTTATCATGTTCCCGAACTTTCCACATCTCTGTTTATTCTCGCCAAAGGCGGCCTTACCCTGAGCTCAGGAAATATTAATTATGCCGTAACAAAACGGACATGACGTTAAATGGAGCTATGTCACAATAAATGCCAACTGAATTCTAGAACCATCCAACATTCTGGAGTAAAAGGGAAAAACGAGGTTAATTTTGAATACCACTTCCACTAAACTAAGTTTTACTTCGCAAAGGACATATTACGAAACTGTGTATTTTCACTCTTTTTTTAGAGTTGTGACTGATTGGTATCACAGATGTTTGACTATGTTTGATATTTGTGGTTGCGAGCTTCAAGAATAGGTGTGGTTCTGAAGCCTTGAGGCCTTCAATGAACACAAACCTACAGTTTCTAGAACGATTAATTAAAGTTGGACCCCTCAGTCTGCGGATGAAACTGTTTCGCCTCAGTTCCTCCTTTCATTATCTTCTAGTTCTCTACTTACATACTTAAGATAAATGCAATTTCGCGCATACTTAAGATTAACGCAATTTGGCAAAAATTCCGTTCTTTACAGTATGTCCTTTACAGGTTTTTCTTACACCAGAGTGAAAGCTGTTAGTCAGTCCGTGAAGGTTACCTTGACCCGTCACAAATAACTGCTTCATTGGTGTCGTGCATGATGTCGTTGGCCTCAAGACCGAAATAATGCTGCGCTTGTCATGCAGCTATGAAGTTAATCTGAATTCACACAATCTGCACTCTTAATCATCATATCGCAAATAATTTTCATCCGGAACAAATTTTTCCACGCAATTCAACAGAGTGATTCGTTTCTTCCGCGAAAATTGCGAAAAAAGTTGACTCTCATTTCCTTCATCTGGTTCTTTTTATCCTTTACAATTTTTTTTGTGTATTTATTTAGTTTTTTATTTCACACCTGCACATCTAAAGTTTCATAATTACTCACTTGTTTTAATTTTTCTCGTATTAATAATACTGTAATTAATTTGTGATTATCTTACAGCACTGCAGCTATTTCTCGCCCTAAGTTTATTTAAAAAATAAAAAAAAATTATAGTATATTACTAAACATATTTTGGGAAATTTTTCGATACTGTTTCTAGATGTTTCGGCCGGGTCTACCATTCCAAACGTGTATAGAAAGTACAGGGTTAAAATTTGAAAAAAGAGAAGTTATTCAGACCATGTTTTCTCTTTTACAAAGCTGAAACTGTTAATTAAATTCAACTCTAGTCTGATTGAGTTGGTAATATGGTCTATCATTTAATAACCTTTGGTTTAATTTAGATCAAGAGACTATAACTATAATCTCCTGTATAGACTCTGACTCCTCTGGTTCAATGAGCACTCTTCCATGCAATTATGGATCAATGTCAGTGTATGAGCATTGTGTGGACGAGAATTACTTAAACCTCAAGGCAAGTTACTGACAATGACGGTTTCAATTCACGCTTGCTTGCAGCGCATAAATATTCTTAGAAGGATCTAGGCCTTCATATCTGAAGATGGTTAACCTCATAGTGAAATTGAGAGATAAGTAAATCCAATTAAGTGTATTCTTATTAGTGACCTGGGTCGGGGAAGGTACGTCTTAAGGGTATTCGTGTTTAAAAGCGTCTTAAAATATGCCGCTAAAGAGCGCTATGCTCGGCAAATTACTACTAATGAGTTAGTACCTCTTCAAAGGTTAAATAATAAGAATTCTATGTGACAGAAAAGAGAGAAATTGAGAATCAAAGTTTTAGCAAATAGTTTGTGGAAAAAGCCGAAAGCTGACGGTTTCGTTAAATTTGAAAAGAGACCTCTCCAGCAAAAACTTCTTAAGACATCCCCTAACGTAATTAACCATTATCTTTTCTTTTAAATAAAAATCCCTTATTTTTGATTAGTTGGGTAGACGCATGCTACCGTGGCAACAAAATATCTGCTAATGTGTAATGTGCAATAACATTACACAACTCACAGATCGTTTATGCACGTGAGGCTCTGCGAGGAGAGAAAACTTAAGTTCAAACGTGACATAAGATATAATGAGTATTTAATGCAGAAGCAAACACGTCTCTTGTCTCTTGGATTTCATGAATATCAACCACTCGCGTCTAACAGAGCTATCCGCAATTAGATTTCCATTTACATGCAATAAAAAGATCGTACTAATTCCGTGCGTTGTTTTTCAATTCAGTGACGTCACACGTTGTGTTACCATCCGCTCCACGCAAGGACGAAGTCAGGTCAAAACATTCACGAATTGAAATACCCACTGAGCGACTCGGGTCCGCTACAATCGCGAAAGTAAGCAGTGGTTTCGACTGCAAGCGAGTTGAAGATAACCTCGCTATGTCTGTTCAACAATGTTTAGCCTGTAATGCTGTGGTGAGTAGACTGTGTCTTAAAGATCGTTCATATTATTTATTTCGAACGTTATCCTCTGTCGACCGATTTTGAATACACATGTGCTTCAACTTGTCTGGCGAAAATTAATAACTTCACATCGCCTTAGATTCGTGCTTTTTGAAAGCATCAGACACAGCATGTAATTCTTTATTGACATCGTATAGTTTTACAACAAAAAGAAGAGCTGAATTCATAAGAAAGCACGTTACACCACGCCAAACCAAAATTTTCGCTGGCAGTTAAGATATTGATTTTGCCATGCCAGTAACACGTAGCAATTCTTGTATATCAGACGACGTAATTTATGCCGCTTTTAGCCTCGGCACTTCGAAACTAAAGAGGAATAAAAGCGTGTTTGACCATAAAAGTATAGGAGACTGAAACCAGCAGCTGTTGTACGTTGTCTCTGACAAGAGACGAATTTAGTCTGAGAGTGCATCAGATCAGTTATGGCGGTTTTGGCGTCAGCTGTGAAGGAAGAAAATACCTCTTGCAAAATTCCCTCTGACAGCAAATAATCTAACCTGTAAATCAACTAATGTCACGTTCGTGTATTTTTAATTACATGGGTAAAAAATCGAAGCATTCTTGTCACGTTAAAATAGGCTTGCGTAACTTGAAAGCTTTTGTGAGATCTCGAGTCAGAGTTAAGATTCAATTTTTGCTTTCCACAACAAGTTAAACCTCATACATTCTTCCAAGACTCTAATTTGTTCAAAATCCTGGTTCACTGTTATCTCCTTAAGCCACCAAATAAAGTCATCCCCTCTCTCTATTTATTTATATATTTTTATTCACTATATTTTATACCTTGGAAGACTTGACTTTCGAAAGTAATTATCAGCGCATGGTTTGAACGTGTGTTGTCAAGTGTCTCCAACGCTGAATATTTCGTTCGGCTACTTAAATAAATTATTTGGTTTTCTCATGATAAGTAGCTATAACCTTTCTTTCCCGTCCTTGAAAATCAATTATGAAATGCTGCCCGAAAAAGTAATTGTCATAAACTTATGCCCCAGAGAAAAAGGTGTTTCTTAATCATTGCTGAAAAGTCAATAAGAGTTAGTTGACATATTTGAACCCGGGAAATGGCCCTTAAAACTGATTTTGACTGAATCGGAGCCAAAAAGAAGATGATACGATCCTCTTAACTAGAGGATACAGTCATGGCGGTAGAATTCCCGGCATGCAAGTGTAAGTAAACGATAGACAAGTTAACTGATGAATATTAAGAGCCCTCATCTCTTTTCTTTTTTTGCACTCTCGTCGCAGTAACCGTTCATACTCCACTTTTCCACTATTCTCTCAAATAAATTGTGATCTTGGTTCTTCTCAGAATCGAAGTTGATGCCCTTTTAAAGTACCACTCACGTGCAACTGATGTAGTATAACCGCCTTGCCGCCGGCAGGCAAGCATTGCCTTACTGAGATATCACGTCTACTTACGGTATACTGATTACCTTTTTAAGCCTTGTTGTAAGTTATTACGAAACTTGATTCAACAGCAAAAGTAGTTGTACCAAATTAGAATGAAATATTTAATTTTGATAGTATTTATTAATTTTCTCGAGAGACTAAAATCAGATGAGTTAAGCTCCAAATATCAACATTGTGAACCTACGTGAGCGTATCAAAAGGATTCGTTTAGATCAGTCTGGCTACTCCTTGCGAGAACAAAGGCTCCTTTTCTACTAGGGAAAATTGGCCCATATGCGCTTATATCATGTCGATCGCGCATATTGGCTCGTCAACGTAAGACTCCTTTTCTAAACCACTTTCTGACCTCTTCATTAAATGGCTTAGTATTTTTCTCAAACACCTATGGAGCATAAAGTCTCGACAATCAGTGCCATTTACCTTTAGCGGCTTCCTCAAGCTGTCGTCTGCGGCTCGCGTCAAGTCAGGCGGCATCCTTCAGTTTAGACCTGAGATTGTGCCTCTTAGTTTATTGGATACCCGTGGGCGTTCTCTTAATGGGAATTCAAAAAGCCAAGCGCTTTTTTTAAAACATTGAGAGCGTCAACTAGTAAGGCACAACTTGAATCATTCTAAAAGAAGCAGAAATTCGGTGTCTCTATCTTCGCGGAATCGTCTTTGTTTAACCATCATTTTGAAATTTCAGCCCTTTCTGCTGACAATGAATATTCTTGATAACATCTAACCTATGTAAAACAGTCCGTCTTCCTAACAAAGGGGGAGGGGGGGCTCTACGTACGATTTTTTTAGCCTACGAAGCAGTTATAAGAGACATGAACACCAAATAAATTGGAAGAGAGGACGAAAAGTTTCAGTGCTTCTCACACTTTCCACTCATTCGTCCTATACTTTGACAAGTCTCTAGAGCTCTCCAAAAAAGGATTTGAGCAGGGATTTATTGACCGACTGACTCACTGACTGACTGACCGACCGACTGACTCACTGACTGACTCACTGGCTGACTGGTCTGACTGGCTGACTGGTTGACTGGCTGACTGACTTCTGGCTGACTGGCAGACTGACCTACTGACTAAACGTCTGACTGACCGACCGTGGGACATCCTGACTGCCCGATCAGGTGATCAACTGATTGTCCCTCTTTAGAAAGAATGCATGGTTAATCCGATCTTTGGATAAGAATAAATGATTGATGCACCCCGAAAACGCACACAAAATATCGCTTTTGCGAAACGTTAGGAAAGCCGTAACAATTACTTTGTGTCCTAAATTCTCAATGCTTTGCTTAATTTTATAACACTCAGGTCCCCAAGTCCAGTAAGTCATGCCAGTGTGGCCACGTCTTTGAGGATGTCAAACAAATCGCGGGAAAACGGTTTTCAGGTAAATGTTAGATGTTGAGCAGGATAAAACAAATCGTGAAACAGTTGTTAGCGGATTCGTGTTTGTTTTCTGCAGAGTATCGGGCAGAGTTGTACTGGCGACTAGAGAGCAAGCGAATGAAAGCATTATCGAAAGAAAACACCCCACTTAACGAAGTGACACCCACTGATGAAAATAACAATGTTAACAAAGATGTCAAAGACAACAACAATAACGAGGTAAACTAGGTTTTTCGTCAGTTATTTCTCTTGGCGCCTTCCGTGATCTGTAACGCTTAAGGCAAATAGAACAACTCAGAGTAAAATATCAACCCCGATGAGTGTCCCCGCGTTGAGTTGGGAGGTCGCTTGTTAAATGAATGGAATCGATGATGTCATGATCGAGTCCAGAGACGGTCTAAATAATGTAATTATGTACAAACTGATCTATGGATCACCACTCATTTATTTTCCGTTGTACCAGTTTTGCGTGTTATAATCTTTAAGAGAAAAATTGAGCAAAACACGCTTTGTAGGAGGTTTTTCGCCGAAGCCAAGGCTATGACAGAGTCGCCCGAGGTGCTTACCTATCCCCTATAAGGGGGTCCCAAGGGGGTAAAGTTTTAGCCGTTTGGCGTAAAAATTGATTAATGTTAACCGTTAATCGTAGAAAAAGTAAAACCGTAAAAATATTTTCTTTGAACCGTAAAAGTAAAATTGGGGCACAGCCTTAGCTTGGTCTTTTAACTTGGAACAAGGTACAAAGAACTGAAGTGATCTACAGAGTTAAAAGTTATCGATATAACAGCTGAACTTAATCACCTGTTCACGTGCAGTTTTACACTCAGACAAAACAAATTATGTTGGTGGTCTTAATATTTTGATTTTATAGAGGATGTTTTCTTTCTTTACCCGCCTAAAATTGACCTTGTGGGAAGCACGAGCTCGGTCAAGGTCAATTATCAAGGTGAACCAAAACAACAAATGTAAAACTGTATCAATCAGCAAAAACGAAAATATTTTCAATGAAGCATCAAGTGGGCGATTATTTGGTTTTCTCGTTTTCTTGATTACCATTTTCGAATGGCAATAACCCTCACTTTAAAGATGACGCTAATTGCAAAATCATTCTTGAGAAAAATTATGTATATTTGATTAAAAATAAAACATCATTTTCATTTTAAAAGCCTTACCCTTGCCAGAGATTTCATGCATCTCGAAAAATGACCTAATAATTCAGTCTATTTAACACCCAGCAGAAAATTGCGGAGCCCATCGTTCGGCTATCAGCAGTCCCCAAGAAAAGAATTCTTCAGCGCAGGGTTAAAGGGTTGTGTCCGACAAACAGAGGACTCCATAAGCCTTCTAACATGAACTACCAACGTGTTCAACCCACCAACGACAAAAGCGTGTCACCCGAAGTTCTGTACCGACTCTCTAAAGCCCTGGAAGAAATTAACAAAAAGATTCTAACGCAAAATATGGTGTGGAAAAGTTTGGTGTAGATGGAATATCCATAAAGAAGCAGACTTTGTGTGAAACCATAAATGTTGTTTGATTCCATCAACTGTCCGACGAGTCATTCAAACATCGTCAGCATTTGCGGTTAATTCTGGCAGATTTTTTCAAGAATTAAGAACCCAAGGAATAAACAATCATCAAATGACTATCGTCGTTCATAGCATATGGAGATCATTTTTAAGTAAAAGTAAATTGAGTATTTACTTATTTAAGTAAATAAGTAAATTGACACTCTTTGTCTGGAAACTATTTATTTAATAATTAACTTGTCTCTTGAACTTTTCACCAGGCCAGGATTCGAATGTAATTTAATTAAATAAATACTCCTACAGGTAAACTCACGAAATCAATCGTCAGCACAGGGCACACGTATTTGCGGCGTTGGTTCGCATACATTTAATACCTGAGATCAAAGATAAAATAAAAAAGAACTTGCCTCAGTTTACATGGTATGTTCAGGGCCGACCTCTTTTTAAAGTAACACCAGAGGGAGAGGGAGAGGGAGCTGGAGGGGTGGGGTGGGGAGTTAGATAGTAGAGTATGCGCATGAACTCATCAATACATGTGACCTTCAAGGAAAGACATCATAGGTCAAAATGAATGAGAGAAGACTTGAAGGTCGCCAAACTAAATTTGCATTGTTGCGAGTTAAGATTAACAGGTTTGAATCATAACGTGAAGCAAAAACAAAATCGGGGGTGTTTTTCACAAATTTCAGTTCGAAAGCGTTGTTGAATGTGGAATGTGGTTTGGCGACGGCGAAACAGGAATAAATAAAAGAGGACCTTAGAAATTAAATCTAATAAAGTCAGACGTGTAAATCGAATGAGGCCATGTATGCTACGATAATTTAGTTTTCCGAGCTTTCGCCGATCTACGGCATCATCATCATTCCTGACGATGCCGTAGATCGGCGAAAGCTTGGAAAACTAAATTACCGTAGCATACCTGGCCTCACACGTCAGACTTTATGACACTATGCTACTCAAGGACAACATCCAACACTTGAAGTCTAATAAAGATTCAAGAAACAACAATACATTTTGTTTTAAATATGTCATTACTAGCGCCCTATTCGTCCACAAGTATATAGCAGAAATATCGAGTCTCCATTGCTTAAAAATAAAGTTTACCTTAAAAATCCTATCTCACGGATTTTTTTTTAAAACTCTTAGCATGCCAATGACCTTCCTTCTTCTCCAATAATGCGGAAAACAGTGTAAAAGAAACATTCCTAATAATTGATTTCTTAAGCGAGTACAAAATAATTCTAAGTGTAGGGCATGAGAAGGTCATGTAAACACTTCAACGGCCTTACCATAAGCTTTCATTTCGTTATTGAGCTTGAGCACATAATATAAAATTCTTTATTGAAGATTAGCGCAAGGACCCGTTATTGGACCCTTAGATGTCTACGTTAGGCCATTTTACGCTAGGGACGCAATTCACTACACACACGCAAAAAAAAAAATTCGTAATACTGTATCCTACACCTGCATCTTAGACAAGTTGGGCCTAACCCGGTCAACATCATCGGATAGCATCACGTGACCTGTCAGCTCCGTTTGAGAAGACTGGGTAAAACTTAGATACCAAAGAAAGGAAGTAAGAAAACATAGATCACCGAAAATGGAAAATTGAAAACGTTACTCTCTTCTATCCAACGTATATCATTTGGAAATAAAAGATCACGGTTAAGCATTTGTGAGTTTTTGTTGTTGTTGTTGTTTCCTTGCTTGCGGTTTTTTTTTTCTGTTTGGATAAGAAAGAGATTGCCCTCTTTACTCTCCCACGATTATTGCACTTTTTTTGCAGGAAAAAATACAAAGGTCTATTTATGTGTCTTCATCTTATAGTTAATACTTTTAGCTGAGTTTGGGAAATCGAAGAATCGTTTTTCCCGGCCTCTCCGCCTTCATAACATCTTTTACGCAGAAGGTTATTCCTTGTAAATGTGAGATGACTAAGACATTCGTAAGAATTCCTTCCGACTGTTTCCTACAATGCCAACTTTTCCCGTATTTTCTCATGATTGTAACACTCTTTTGCACGAAAAAGAAATTAATGTCTGTACTTTCTGTTTGGGTGCCTTTCAAAGTAGAATAATACAATTTGAGTTTTAGAAAATCCCCGCAATCAACAAAGTTATCAGTTTCACTGCGTCATATCACGGCGATAGCTTCTTTAGAGCATTGAGACTGAAAGAGTGACGAACGACGTTCTTCAGAATTTTTCCCGATTGTTCCGCACCAACATCACCACGATTTCAACCGACATAATGAGATAAACAGGGTAATTAATGCTGAACGGATACAACGAGCAAACAACGCACATTCTACAAACTTCGAAGGAGTTCTGTTGTGTTGATCCAGAGAAACAACTAGATTGTTGCTTCATAGCATAGCCACAGACATTAAAATCAATAAACTCGAATTTTTCCTTGGGTGAGTGATCTGCAAAACACAATTTTGCGTTCACGATTAATAGAGGCCATTGATAATTTTAATCGGAAATAATATTTTTCCAAATTTTATAGCA